GTACATTGTGGGAGGAGGAGGGATGTAGGTTAAGAGGGGTTGGGAGGGGGTGGGGGGAGAGACTGTTCTATACAAACGGATTAGTGGGAGGGGGGGGGATAGGCTGCTGAGCCAATGCCCCACTCCGCACCCTTAAATATGGTGCGGTAGGAGGGTAGGATTTCCCAGGGAACCAGACCTCCAGGACGACCCAGGGTGCGCTGGGAAGACAACATCCGACAGTCCCTAACTAACAGAGGACTGGAATGGAACAAAGCTAGAAAGAAAACTGCTGATAGAGACGTCTGGCGATCTCTCTGGCAAACCTCTACACCCCAAGGTAGAAGAGGAGCGACTAAGTAAGTAAGTAAGTAAGGGAGGGTAGGAGGGTGAGAAGAATTCATGGAGCCTGAGCCTCCAGGTTCCGACGCCTGTTGTCACCTCATTTTTCCTAATTTTTTCTGCTCTGCACGTATTTATTGGTCTGGTTGTATCTTTTTGACCCTGCGTGCTTCAGTGCAAGGACACACGTTATTTCGTTATCTGGTTTTCTGAACGTGTAAGCTATTTTACGCCAGCGCCTTTTTCCTCACCTCTCGATTAGCTAGAATTTGTTGTAAAGGGAATTTGTGAAGTTATCCCCGAAAGCAGAACATTAGTGATTCTGTCATACCATTTAGCTTCTTTTGTTCACGCTTTGTGCTAGTTTAGCATTTTCCTGCCAGTAGCATTCTTGCACGTCTAGAATACAAGTCAAATTACAAACAACAACTGAAAACAAACTTAAGTTACCACTGGTGACGGACAGTAGCTTCTGTAGAACAATAGTGCGACGAATGAGAAAACTGCAGTATACCTCTAATATTGTAACAAATATTACGAAAACAGTTTCATGTTTCCAGTTTTAATAGCTAGTTTCTGGAAAACAGCAGAGAATTTTCGTTATGAAAAACCGAGTAAAAAAAAAAAACCATGATTCAACCGCGAGTTGATTAACATTGCAACCGCGCGTGTGTGAATGACAGTGTGCGAGTATGTGTGAGTGTATATATGTGTTGCCCTAACAGACGATCTAATGCATAGTTAGCGTGCCTGCTTCAGTGTAGAACTAACACCTGGCAGCGATCAGATATCAGGGCCAGGAATTTCTGTTGGAGAGTGTTGTGGGTTCTGCCTTACTGTTGGGATTAGGGAGCAGCCGATTTTGTTCGTTCAAGTCTGCTTGTGCGCCGGTTGTGAAAACCAACAGGCCGTGTGATTTATGGCATGGAGAGTATCTGATAATGGCCAAACATGCCTGTTTAACGAAATCAGGAGGACAAATGGATGTCTTGTTATTTTCCTCCTTCTCCTCCATTTTGTTCTTCTTTTTCTTCTTCTTCTTCTTCTTCTTCTTCTTCTTCTTCTTCTTCTTCTTCTTCTTCTTCTTCTTCTTCTTCTTCTTCTTCTTCTTCTTCTTCTTCTTCTTCTTCTTCCTCTGCTTCTTCTTCTTCTTTCTTTTTCTTCTTCTTCTTCTTCTTCTTCTTCTTCTTCTTCTTCTTCTTCTTCTTCTTCTTCTTCTTCTTCTTCTTCTTCTTCTTCTTCTTCTTCTTCTTCTTCTTCTTCTTCTTCTTCTTCTTCTTCTTCTTCTTCTTCTTCTCCTCTTCCTTCTCCGCTTCCTCTTCCTCGTCATGATCATCTTTGTATACTGTTCCTATTTTGGCTTCCGTATTCGTCTCTCCCTGCTAGTACTCTCCGTCTTTCTCCTATTTAAATTCTACGTCCCTCTCCAACTCCTCATCCTCGTCCTTCTTGTTCTTTTTGTTCTTCTTATTCTTGTTCTTGTTCTTCTTCTTCTTCTTCTTCTTCTTCTTCTTTTTCTTCTTCTTCTTCTTCTTCTTCTTCTTCTTCTTCTTCTTCTTCTTCTTCTTCTTCTTCTTCTTCTTCTTCTTCTTCTTCTTCTTCTTCTTCTTCTTCTTCTTCTTCTTCTTCTCCTCCTCCTCCTCATCATCATCATCAGTATCACTTTCTTCGTCTTCTTCTTTTTCTTCTTCTTCTTCTTCTTCTTCTTCTTCTTCTTCTTCTTCTTCTTTCTTCTTCTTCTTCTTCTTCTTCTCCTCCTCCTCCTCCTCCTCATCATCATCATCAGTATCACTTTCTTCGTCCTCTTCTTTTTCTTCTTCTTCTTCTTCTTCTTCTTCTTCTTCTTCTTCTTCTTCTTCTTCTTCTTCTTCTTCTTCTTCTTCTTCACCTACTGCTGCTGCTGCTACTACTACTACCAGTACCCATCTCCTCGTCGTCGGTTTCATTTTATTTTGCCTAAACTCCGATCCCAATTCTTACAGTAACTCTCCCTGTATTTAAAAGGTTTTATATATATATATATATATATATATATATATATATATATATATATATATATATATATATATATATATATATACATGTAAGTATGTCAGCTTAGACTGTATTCTTTTTTTTTTTTTTTTAATCTTTGAAGATTTAGTAGCTTGGCAGTGCAGAGTTAAAACAATTATAAACATTAATTTAAAAGCTTATAACTAATCAGTTATTTTAAATGCTGATAATATATCTGAACATAAACAAAATAAATGGACACATTTGGCTGTTACTCTCTCAAATCAGCATGCGATTATAATATAAGTAATAATTTTGATTATCTAAGATTAATATCAGTAAATATAGATGACCATAATAAATGTTGCATATACACTTATGTTGAAACAATTTAGCCATTCGGGCCTAGTAGTCGTTGATTGCGCATGCGCTGATTTGTAATTCTTTCAAATTTGCATCAGCAGTTTCGGGAAGCAATCTTGCTTTTCCATGTGATTATATCAGTGGAGATAGATTGATGATTGCAGTTTCTGAGAGTGTATGATGGAAAATTTGGGTGAAGAGCGATTCTTATTAGAGATGAAGTCAAGTATAGGATAGAATGTACAATCTCTAATTTTGCCTTTTCTTTAATAATGGCAGCTTATTCCGTCTTATTCAGTTTGATTCCTTGCAATTCCCTTTGTCTTATTCTCTGGCTAACTACATATCTGTCTGTCTGGATGTCTGTCTATTAATCTGTATTGTATGCAAGGATTGGACTGAAAGGGCAGAATGTTGGACGGACCTGCGTGCCAAATTCTTAACCCTTTGAAAATGAAGTTTGTTTGTTCATTCGTTCGTTCGTTCGCCCGTCCGTCCGTTCTGTATCTATATGTCTTCTTTTTTTTTTTTTTTTTGTCTGCTGGTTATTCTAATTAGATATCCATTCATCGACTGTGTCGATTTGTATGTCATGGTAAAGTCTGCACAGGTGTGACATCTCCCCCTATCCCCCAAACCTCTCCAATAACAAGTTACCAGCGATGGCGACTATCACGTCGTCAAGTGTACACCCTGATGTCTATTATCTCAGGATGACCATTATCCAACAACGACCAGCTACCAACAATGACTTGAAAACCAGTATATCAGATGAATAATACCTCGCACGGCCAGTATATCAGATGAATAATACCTCGCACGACCAGTATATCAGATGAATAATAACCTCGCACGACCAGTATATCAGATGAATAATAACCTCGCACGACCAGTATATCAGATGAATAATAACCTCGCATGACCAGTATATCAGATGAATAATAACCTCGCATGACCAGTATATCAGATGAATAATAACCTCGCATGACCAGTATATCAGATGAATAATACCTCGCACGACCAGTATATCAGATGAATAATACCTCGCACGGCCAGTATATCAGATGAATAATAACCTCGCACGACCAGTATATCAGATGAATAATACCTCGCATGACCAGTATATCAGATGAATAATACCTCGCACGACCAGTATATCAGATGAATAATAACCTCGCACGACCAGTATATCAGATGAATAATAACCTCGCACGACCAGTATATCAGATAAATAATAACCTCGCATGACCAGTATATCAGATGAATAATAACCTCGCACGACCAGTATATCAGATGAATAATACCTCGCACGACCAGTATATCAGATGAATAATACCTCGCACGACCAGTATATCAGATGAATAATACCTCGCACGACCAGTATATCAGATGAATAATACCTCGCACGACCAGTATATCAGATGAATAATAACCTCGCACGACCAGTATATCAGATGAATAATACCTCGCACGACCAGTATACCAGATGAATAATACCTCGCATGACCAGTATATCAGATGAATAATACCTCGCACGACTAGTATATCAGATGAATAATACCTCGCACGACCAGTATATCAGATGAATAATACCTCGCATGACCAGTATATCAAAGGATACTGACCATCAGATGACCAGTATCATACTGCATCCCGTATCTTGATTGTATCAAAATTTTTTTCAATGTTCTCTTTTTATTCATAATTCAATACTGAGTTGACTGTATAGATCAGATATTGTCAATCTGTGCACTCCCAGGATCTGTTGGTAGTTACAGACATGAAAGGTACGAGTATCGCGCTGAAATAATTGCAGAAAGTAACAGTTGTAAGAGTCACACTGACACGTTTAATTACAAAAGTATTAGTTGAAAGTATCCCACATATATTGTGAGTTACAGAAGTAACAATTACAAAATCAGATTGACGTTATTGGTTACAAAAGTAACAGTTACAAGTTGAGTTAAGAACGGATATTACAGCTCTCAAGACACTTATATACCCGCTCAGTTCCAGTCTTCATCATGTATCGCCCAGCGCAGTGCTCCAGCTGTGGTGGTACCAGTAGCGATCCGATTGTGTGTCCGATTCCTCTGAGTTTTAGGTCTTGGCAAGATCTTTTTGTGCTTCCGCATTGTTCATTCGCTCCTAGAGGTCTTTATTTCACATCCAGATTCCCAAGCGTCTGTCTACAAGAAAGTTATGCAGGACCGACCAGCCAGTCTCTCTGCATGTTCATCTTCCAACACTCAAGAATGCCTTGAAAAAAAGTTACAAGTTACATGTATCGTATTGACATTGTTTCTTTATTCTGCTTACAGAATCGAGGCACAGGCCTGGACATGAACGTACGTAAAGCATGGGAGATGGGATATACGGGTAAAGGTGTGGTTGTGACGATTCTAGACGATGGAATAGAGAAGGACCATCCTGACCTCAGCAGGAATTATGTAAGTACTGGCTGGCGCATGGCTGTGTGCGTGTGTGTGTGTTGAGAAGTAGCCTTGCAGTTGTGAAAAGGTATATTTTTTGTGAGTTGTTGTGGAAAGATGTTACTGTTGTGGAGAGGTCTTATTGCGTTGGTTGGTTTTAGAGAGGTTTTATTATTGTTGTTTGTTGTAACTTGTCTTACTTTAATTATGCTACCAGTTACTTGTGGTCTGTATCCACATGCTATCACAACGTTGTGGTTTATACTATTGCGGATGTTGCTCATAAAACGTATTTTTGTGGATTGTGCGTGCAGTAGAGAAGTTTTATAGTTGTGCTTGCCGTGAAATGGTATTGTTGTTGTGGATAGTAGTGTTTATTGTCAAAGGCTTTCATTGTTGTTGATTTCTGTGTGGGTTTTGAAGAGGTCTTATTCTTATGGGTTATTATATGCGGTTCTAATAGGTCCTATTATTGTATGTGTTGGGAAAATCTTATTGTTATATGTGTGTGTGCGTATGTTGTGATGAGATCTTGAGTGTCTGTGTGTGTCTTTGTTTGCTTGTGTGTGTTGTGAAGATATCTTATTGCTGTCGATTATTTATGCATGTTGTAAAGAGGTCTTCTTGTGCTGTAGCCTTTTACACGAATGTTCCGTTTCCAGTTAGTTCTAGAGAAGTTGTTTGCATAAATCGATACTGTAAGGGACATAATGGCGTCGGTATCCAAAACGAGCAGTATTCTTAGCACCATAAAGGGGAACGCGAACACAAATAATAATTAAACGCTCGATCTATCTATCTAATCTATCTAATCTATCTAATCTATCTATCTATCTATCTATCTATCTATCTATCTATCTATCTATCTATCTATCTATCTATCTATCTATCTATCTATCTATCTATCTATCTATCTATCTATCTATCTATCTATCTATCTATCTATCTATCTATCTATCTATCTATCTATCTATCTATCTATCTATCTATCTATCTATCTATCTATCTATCTATCTATCTATCTATCTATCTATCTATCTATCTATCTATCTATCTATCTATCTATCTATCTATCTATCTATCTATCTATCTATCTATCTGTCTATCTGTCTATCTGTCTATCTGTCTATCTGTCTGTCTGTCTGTCTGTCTGTCTGTCTGTCTGTCTGTCTGTCTGTCTGTCTGTCTGTCTGTCTGTCTGTCTGTCTGTCTGTCTGTCTGTCTGTCTGTCTGTCTGTCTGTCTGTCTGTCTGTCTGTCTGTCTGTCTGTCTGTCTCTCCGTCAGTCTTGTCTGTCTGTTTTTGTGTGTCTGTCCGTCCTTCCGTTTGTCCGCCCAAGTGCCTGCCCGCCCATTAGTCGGTCGGTCTATCTGTCTGTTTTCCAAGTCTTACACGCTCATATTCGTGTGAGACAGACTGACAGATCAGTATTGGATTAGGTGTTACGTATGCATGATGTCTGGTTTGTTTTTTCTTTGCACGAACAAGTGTAATACACAAATAAGGCAAGAATCCAGGCAAGAGTATGTGTCTAATTTTATACGAAACGTCGCTGGAACTATGTCGGCCACGCCCTTATAATGGATAAATCAAGACTTCCTTACCAAGCCCTCATTTGGACACCACAGGGGAAAAGATCTCGTGGAAGACCAAAGGAAACTCTACGTAGAACTATCACCAGGGAAGGCTCGCTCATGGGCCACTCAAACATCCAAGACCTACAACAGATTGCAACGAACCGCCATGCGTGGAGAGTCATGACCTCTGCCCTATGTGCCGCACTCGACACAAGAGGAAAGACTAACTAACTAACTAATTAACTAACGAACAAGTGGACGGAGAAACGATGGATGGGAGGGAATAGACGAATACATTATGGGTAGACGAGAAGGGTATTATATACAGTGAATCTTTGACAGCTATGTGAAAGAATGGATGTGGGGATAAATGGGTGTGCCGAGATATAAATAAGTAATTTAGTAATAATACAAAGGATCCCCTAGTGGGTTCCGGAGCCTTATTACAGGGAAAACAAGAATAGAACCACTACCTATCCAAAAGCATGTCGTAAAAGTCGACTAATTGGTAGCTTCCTTTGAAGTCAGAATGCATCTGCCTGAGAGGCAAGGGACCAGCAGTCTGCGTGCAAATGAGTCAGATCTGTAAAACGGATGCACACGCAACACTCAGGTTCTGGAACAGTACTGCAGTCCGAAAGTGGATGAACAACCAGAAATTTCCGCCAGAGTTTACGAAGAGCACGAAGAAGAAGAAGTACACATGATTTTTCACAGAGCAGCCTACCAATGGTAATAGACTAAGCTGTGTGCAGTAATACATTCCTAACTCTTTGTGTTGCAGACATTGTTACTTCAACGATGTCTATCACAGAGTGTGTTGCATCGACTGATTGTTATCTTTGCCTGTGTACGTGAGGCAGCTCTCTCATTTTCCATGGTGGATTAGCCTCGTGATGGGCTTCACCGAGGACATGTTATTGAATATATTCCTACATGTAGTTCTACTTGTTGAGAAAAGATTAGAACAATATAACTAGAATTTCTTTGCACTGGAACCCACAGGGACATAGAAATAAGGGAAGACCCAAAAAAATACACGTGGGGGAAAGCTAGAGAGTGGAGGTAAAAAGATAGGGAAGACATAGGAAGAGTTGCATGCGATAGCGATGGATAGATTGACTTGGCTCGAATTGGTTGAGGGCCTGTGCTCCTTTTGGGGGCTAGAAAGGCACAAGAAGAAGATGTGTAGTTCTCCCATTGTCCGCACGTTGTATGATGATGAAGGCTTTCTGGCCGAAACATTGATTCGTGATTGTGTTCTCCCATAGTCCACACGTTGTATGCCGACGGAGGCTTCCTAGCAGAAACATTGATTCGTGATTGTGTTCTCCCATTGTCCACACGTTGTATGCCGACGGAGGCTTCCTAGCAGAAACATTGATTCGTGATTGTGTTCTCCCATTGTCCACACGTTGTATGCCGACGGAGGCTTCCTGGCAGAAACATTGATTCGTGATTGTGTTCTAGTGAAACCTTCACTAATTGTACTTCTCAGTGAGGTTAGTAGATTCATTACTAATCAGCATAACAAGTCACAAGAAGAAGATGTGTAGTTCTCCTATTGTCCACACGTTGTATGCCGATGAAGACTTTCTAGCCGAAACATTGATTCTTGATTATATTTTAGTGAAACATTTACTAATTTTACTTCTCGATTTGTGTGGTTAGTAGATTAATTACCAATCATCAGGTCCTCCACAGAATGCCGCTCACGTCACGGCACACCAGAAAGTCTCTTTCTCTTGCCACTTTTCTAGTCCTGTGTGCTTTCATAGTCAACGCATTTTCCGTATCTTATATCACCGCCTTCTCTGGAGTGCGGTCATGCTTATATCAACCATCTCAGAGGTTTGCGTCGTTTTCTGAAAACGGTACCCCCCTATCGCCGCTCTCTGTAGACCACCGTGACGTTTAACATCACCAAACCACCTCGGTTTTCAGCAAAGGATGCTGTTTATGAGCCAATATTCCTCAATGCTCAGATCATTTAGGATGTCTTTGTTTTTTGTTTATAGTATTCTAAGAAATATTCTGTAGTATTTTCAGTTGATTAGACTGATAATATTTTGAGCCCTAATGAACTTTTCTACTATAGCTGGGACATTTGAAGTTACAAAACAGCAAGATGAACAGACTACCGTTTTATAAATATTGATAGAGTGGGTTTAGGAATATGGTCGCCCATTGGCTAGCCAGTAAACGACTTCGTCGCCGGCCGGGTCAGTATTTTGGTCTCCTTCGATTACATCAACAATGCAGGAGTCTGTTTCAGGGGTCTTGGTGGCGAGCAAGGCTAAGCCATTATGTATGGCGCACATAACCTTGTCACAAATATAACCTAAAACGGGTTTAAGAATGTATACTCAAGATTACTTAAGAACGAATAATCAATACACGAATAGCGAGTTGCTGGGTACTGAAAGAGTTAAACATAATCTAGTGTTCACTAAACTCAGTGCATTGTCTTTTAGCTTTGTTTCATTTCTCTAGGGGTGGGGGAGAAAGAGAGAGAGAGAGGGGGGGGGGGGTGGGGGGGGGGGGACAGAGGATTCTTCGTATTGCATGTCATTTCGTATTAGCCAAAATATTCATCACCTGCTTTTGATCTGCTCTACTGCGTTTACATTTTATGCCGTTTTCCCTTTTCTTCAATTTTTTATTCAGCTTATCTCATTTTTCTTCATTTCTGTAGGTTTATTAATATTAATATTATTATTTTCTAGCTGTCTTGTATCTCTTATATCTCCAGGTGTCTGTTCTTACCTTGTCCTGATACTTGTTTCTACATATTATTTTCAGCTATTATTTTCGTTGATTGTGATTATCTTTCTGAATGCTATCTTTATTTCGTTTATCTTTTGTTTGGTTTTTTGCTTTCCTGAAAATGTGTCTGGTTGTTTTTAAAAATTTTTAGATTTGTTTGTATTTGCTAAGCACTAGCGAGTAACTGTTGAAGACTGTTCCTAAAGAAGAAATAGTGAATAAAGATTTTAAAAAATTACACTAGGTATTTAGTATATAAACAAAATTAGCTAGTGTACAGAAACTCAAGGAGAAAGAATATAACAGGAGACATAAATTACAGAACATAGTATAGAAACTACATGAGATAGAAACTAGAGTACAGAAACTATCGTATATTGTAACTACTCGAGTTTATTTAGAATCTAAAGTACATAAGAACTACATGAGATAGTATGGAAACTAAAGTAAATAGTACCTAAAGGGATTGTACAGACACTCAAGAATATAATACCTACAAAACATATTAACTACAGGGAATAGTAAAATAACCAAAGTAGATAGAAACTACAGGCGATAGTTTAGAGACTAATGTAGCTAGAAACTACATGAGATATATAGAAACTAAAAAAGTAGCTCAAAACTACAGTAGATGGTATAGAAACTAAAAGTAGCTAAAATAATTATAGTAGGTATA